TTTCACAACACCAAAAGAGGAAGGAGATCTTGGGCAGACGAATTAATTTTAAGTACAGTGAGCCCATCTTTACAATGGTAATCCCATTCCTCTTTGGAACTGCGCAGCGTCAAGGTTGCTTTCAAGATGTTTGTGTCCTTTCACTTTAATAATACACATTTTTTCCAAGGAATTGGGAACGTGTGTGTTCAGGCGTCCTTTTTAGCAAAAACTGAACCGTTCTGTGCTACAATAGTCAGGGTTTCATGTGACAAAAAAAGGATATTACTCACCTTCAAATTTTCGAAACAGTTGAGGCCGGTAAACTCTGGTATGCCAAGACTTTGAGCAACAACTCTAGCGATCGTTATGTCGTTTTTAATCACGAAACCATCACTGAAACCAAACCAGTTTTGAATCAATGAATCGCCCAATCCCTCTTGGAGAATGCCCTTTAACTACAGGTGTGGCTCTGGTACTAAATGGAGGTTACCCATGGAACAAGTAAGTTCAATGAGTCTTTGTAAGGCTCTCCAGTAAGCCCACATGAACGATTAATGGAAGGTTTCCGAACGCTTTGCTTTTTCGGAATAGATTTCTCAGAAAAATGCTCAACGATTTCAACGAACTGAAATTTTACGCCGGATCCTGCAGCTTGCATTACCAGTAGCCACTGGAAATAAGTTGACTGGAACCCACATGTTCATGCCAATCGGATCCTTCTCGTTAAAAGTGATGGAGAGCGACGGATTATAACCACCGAAAGCAATAGCGAGAGCTGTTGCATACGGGATTTCCCCTTGTTTGGCATTGATCACAAGCTGCTGTTTGACCGCAACCATTGTGAGCCTGAACAGTGTAAGTGGAATATAACCAAAAAATGGTTTCACCTAAGGAAAAACCGAGCAATTTTATGGAAAATTTCTTCCTGAGGCAAAATTACAATGAGTTCACTGTATTGCCTGCAATCGCGGCAAAACACCATGCTTCACGCCCAAGTGCTTTGCTTGCTCTTAATTTTTGAAAATTCGAAAGTTTCTTTTAGTGTAGCCTAATCAAGTAACCAGTTCATGAACATACTATTTTTGCACGAACTTCTTGGAAATTTGTTGTTGAGAAGGCAATCCAGTTCTGGTTATTTACTCTTGATCACCGGACTTGGTTGTTGTAAAGATTTTGTGGTTACTATGTGTAGCCTGAATTTCTTTTGTGGAGGTCGGATTATTATCGCAGCGAAAGGTAACCAGTAAAATTGTGTACTGAGTTTTCATCGAATTTTTTTGAAGAATGCGAGTTTTTGATTCTAATGAAGGAAAAAATAACAAGCTTACTGAAAATCGTCGAAGTTTACATCTTTTCGCAACTTTCGTGTGAGCATTTCAAGTGCTTCAAAGTAAGCGCAGTATTTCGTTTTCTTTTGTTTATGCTGATCCGATCCCTCTTACGAAGTATCTGGTGTGGACATATGTGTGGGCTGTCGTTGACAGCATCGGGTTCTCATCTGATCTCTTCCTTCAGCTCCACTATTGTTCTATTTTTCTCAAAGCAAAGAAACGGGTTGTGATAATCAGTAGTAATCTAGCCGAGTCGAACTATAGGTATGTTTCATTTCATTGGTAAGCCTCCACTGTCAAGATGTAATGATTCATGCTGAAATTTTAGAGTTATATTCAGTAAATTAGCACTTCGATGGGATCCTTCGCTGATTTCAGTTATTGATCTTGATAGTTTATTAGATGGTCAACTCCATATTAATGAAGAGAATACTGTCAAAAGGCTAAACGAGGAAGGTTCTTTTATCGATTTACTTTACTTTTGCTGATCTCGGTGGCGAAGATGGACGGATTGGCCGGATTGGCGCTGTGAGGCTTGGGAGGGGCAAATATCCAACAATTCCTCCTGTTAACCAACAGGTCTCATTTAGTTGAGACCCGTAAACTCGTGTAAAACTGCAAAATCGTATCTTTGAGCCACTTCGGATATAAGAATATACAGATCTTCACAAGATAGCCTGTACGGCTCCGTTGTGCTCCGACCAAGCCGAATTGCGTCGACGGATTAGGCTCTGTCTGGCAGCTCTTTGAGCAGGATATAGGTAATAGTCCGATCCCTTCCTGTTTTCATGGGGGGGGGGTGTGCGATTTGATTTATTAGTACAATGCAAAGTGGCTGCGTGACTGCCTGAACTTCTTGCCTTTGTCCCGCTGCGAAAAGAGAGTGCGAACCGCGGAGGAGGCTGGTATACTGGAGGTCGAAAGGAGGTAAAGAGCATATGTACGACCCAGAAAAGAATTTGCTTCAGGAGTATCTTCGCGGCGGGTACACGACTCTCTATGGGTGAAAAGTTAGAGTGTGTCGAAGTTGTCAGGAAACGCTGCATAGAGAAGAGAATGCAGACGATAAGAGAAAACTGGAACAACTCAGACTTCTCGTAGGGGTCCTGTAGTGAAAAGTGAGAGCGCAGAGAAATAGAGGACCGTGGCTGATAAGGCAGCTGAAGGTGTTAAAAGCATGGGCAGGGATGAGCAGAGCTGATGTGGTTAAAGGGATTGAGTTCAAGTTGTCCACTGACCGACCGTAGCCTCGTCTCAGGATACCTGTCACCGCGAAGTCACCCTCCTCCATCCCTTTTTCTTCTTCTTCCTTCTTTCTTCTCCTTCCTCCTTCCTATCATCTTTGTTTTCCTCCCTTTAAGTGCTCAGCCAAAAGATGCTGTGAGAACATACCTTTGGACCCTCGCAGCAAGGGAGCATCGGTTGACAGCTTTTGTGCCGTACAAAGGCTAGGGGCTAGGTTTTTTTGGTAAAAAAACATACCGTAGTCGAGACTACTTCTGGGATTATTTCCGGAATGAACGAAGTTGGGTTTTTTTTGTAGATATATAATATTCCCATAGACTCAGTATCCCCGAAGTGGAGGAAGGCGTGGCTACGTATCTCATCTGAATGTGGTACTGGTGGAATATTTTCGTTTTGAGACAACAGAATCATGTCTCTGGCTAGGACAAGGCAGGATTAAAACTGTCTCTTTACGACAATAAAAACTTATTTTGTACTATGTTCAAATGATATACACAGCCACGCCCCTGCCAACCTTCGTGGTAAGGAATGTACATATGACATATCTACTTCATCTTCTCATACTTACTGGTCTTTGTGACGTGCTGTTTACTTATATTTTTTAGGTATTGGGTAGTCCATCTCTTCTTATTTTTGATGACGTTTCTGTTTTGGAAAGGCTGAATATGCGATCATCTACGGTGGTCTGCCTCCTTTATAAACTTTATAGCAAGTACGTACGTTAAGCGTAACTCCCTAAGTTAAGAAGTAATGCCTGTTCGTTCTTCAGATTAGAACCGAATGGACTGTTGTTAGCGTTGTCTCACTAAGACCAGAGCTTTCTCTATATGCTTAACAAGGCTTGATTTTGTTATTGAACATAACGCCGGTGATCAGGATTTGGCAAGGATGTCTCAGGAAGGGTAAGGTTTCCCACTCGCTTCCACACGGAGCCATTATTTGAAGCACTTTTTTCTATCAGAAAACTTCCACTGAACTATTTTTAGATGGTCATAAATGTACGAGGGGCTACACTAACACCCGATGTTTCCGAATTGCTTTACGTCACTGGGGAACGGTCGATAAAGTGCTTCTATCCTGGAGGAAGTTCATTTTTGAATTTATAAATAAAGAGTTATTATATTTGTAAATGTTGTATTTTGTTTATTGTGTTGCTTTCACAACATTACCTTAATGATGGTTTTTGATGTCATTTTTGTTATTGTGTCATATATAAGTTAGGCCGCGTTCATACTTTGCGACCGAGAAAATCCATCGATTTGGGAGAATAAGCGTTTTATAGCGCTGGCACCACGGGAAAGAGGATGGGTAAGATTCGGTGGCCGAAATCTGCTCCCACGTTTCAAGAGTAGAACGTGGGCCAAAACAGTGAATAGGCTTCACATCTCACAAGCGAGTCAGCGAACGGCGAATCTTTTAAGCCGCCAAACCCCGATAGAGTGCCCCTTTCCCTTCCCAACTTAAATCAGTATCTCAATGCCTCACTCCACATTCTGTTAACTATGAATTCCGGACAGAGTCTCTCTTGGGCAGGGCACGACTTTTTGTGCGCATTTCTCAATCGTGCGGGCAGATGTCTGGGCTTCTCAAAAATTTTCGGCGCTGTTCGACTTGGAGGGGCATTTTGCTCTTTCGTTAGTTTCATTAGTCAGTTTATGTTAAATAATAGGTCTCAGGTGGCGACTGCAAGCTCTTGTGAAACGTGGAATGGTGCGAGTGAGCTACAGAATGTTGTGCAAACTTGACGGAGCACCATTCGGTGTTCCCCCCCCCCCCTCCCTCCCCAAGCCGACCACTCCAAGAATTTTTCCTTCGAATCATGCCAGGGAGTTATCCGCCTTTTTCTTTTGAGCACAGTTTTTTGCGATAGAGTCTTTCGGTCACATAGCTCAGCGGGCGTTCATAGTTTGCGACTTGTCGCTTATGCGATTCACGCGCTACGCTTTGTGACTCCAGCACTTCTCGGAATTAGGTACTGGTACTGTAAGGGGGATACTTTCTCCTGGATAGATTTGTCCTTAGTGTGGTATGCTCTCAGTATTGTACTTTCAGCTCCGCTTGAGGGTAAGCTTCGCCACAATGAGTAACCGCAGGAGGCGTATGAGTGATGGTGAGTTCGCAGCTAATAGTGATTTTGGTTTCGAGAAATTTGGAGGGGAGTTCGATGTCATAGAGGTTTTTCTGCCCTTTGAAGTCATTTGATATTTGGATTCAGATTACGATGGCGACGTTAAAAGGCGGCGCGGTTCTGAATATGACGAAGTCGAACGTAGGCTCCAGAATCTCATTATAAGAGTGGATGAAAGCGTGAGTAGTAACGTATTCGAATTATTTCAGTAGAAATGCTGTTTCTGGGAACGTTGCCCAGAGGGGGGGGGCGGGTTCATAACTTGTCACAGGCTAATGGATCGTTTTTGCGGTGCAACTTTTCCTGTGGTCATTTTCGTGGCCTTCCGCTTTTTTAAAGGCGTGTAGACGTCGACGCAGGGCGGCTTGGGGGACATTTCCACTTGGTACTTTCCACCCTGACAGCCATCAAGGAGAGCGTGAATTTTCGTGAAGCTATGAAGTGATGCCAAACGAACTTAGGAGAACGCTTTTCAAATCTTGTAAACCAAGAGCACGACGACGGGAAGCAGCGAACGTGCAAAATGCCTCCCCCCTCTCCTCCAGCCGACCTACGCCTAGACATCTGCTGCTCCACGAATCTGACGCAGTCTTTCTGCAAGATTGAGCTTCAACTCGCAGTTGTCATAGAAGCCCAAAGCGAAGCCAGTATGCGAGAAGGAGTATAGCCCAGCCTCGTAAGTGACCTCGAAATGGGCTATATAAGAGCTTTGGCAGCGTTCAGACTTCGCGACGGCAGCGCCTCGGTCGCGCGTTCGGCGCGATCGATGCGCATGCTTTCAACTGCATCGATCGCGTCGAACGCGCGACCGAAGCGCTGCCGTCGCGAAGTCTGAACGCTGCCTTTGCAGTACAGATGCTTTTAAAAGTTATCATCGGGTTTTTTCAACTTTTTTGTTCCGGCTGTTATCGTTTGTTTTAGTTCCCCAATGTGTTAGTTTCAGAGCGGCACTTCTTCCTTAGAAAGCAACCTTGAAAGTTTGTGCTCACTACTGGAATCGGATCTCGATAAGTATAGGACAAAAATTATTGAAATAGTTACGCTTTGGTGAGTTATTCATCTTTCTCGAAGAGCCATTTCTAATTGTTTTCTTTAGCGTCTGTCAACTACCTGATAAAATTACTGTATATTCCACACTTGTTGGATTGTTAAATGCAAAAAACTTCAATTTTGGAGGAGAGGTGTGTTGCATGAGAACATTCTCGCTTTCTCTCGTTTGCTAAGAAATCAAATTAAGATCGTGGAGAAGCTGGTTTCTGACCTGCAGGAGAAACTAGAAGCTGAAGATTTCCAGCAAGCTATGTTTATTGTAAGTTTGCTTATACTGTGTTTGTACCGTACAACCATGAACTGCTTTACCGCAGTAGAGGAGGGGACAGCGGATGGCTTTTATCGATACTAGTTCAGACCAACCTTGTGGAGACCTGTGAAATTCTGTAATCAAAGCGGCTCGATTATACCATTTCGCAGCTTTACAGGAGTTCACATGTCTTTCAACCTGTAATTTTATGACCTTGAAAAGGAACTAGTGAAAGTGCAAAATGTCCCTCC